GCATTTGGGCAAGGTGTCCAGCCCATCAAAGTCCATGGCAAGTCATGACAGTTTCTAGGTTCCCCATCTTTGCATGGAAGAGAACTTCGTTGTTTGTGATCCAGTCCTTCCAGGTGTTCTGTACGAGTTGACAAAGTCTCATTTGATGGAATTTTTCAAGTTTGCGGATGTCTCTTTGGTAGAGTCCAGGAGAGTTGAGATTACAACCCTGCGTTATATAAATCTAAAGTATATAAAATTCACATCACAGCTCACAATGCACAACTATCTATTCACTTCTATCTTTATTGGCACAAAACCAAACATATGAAAGAATAGTACAGTTTGTTAAAAAAAAAAAAAAAGGAATCATCTTTATTATTTATACATGGTTCTACAGAAGGATGATGAGAATATCTTAACTAGGACATGTGAACAATGAGAAAGTTTTAAAAATGGGAACAAAATAAACTCTTTCTTTGGATCAGAAAAAGACAGTTGGGATTTGTAGAGTACATAAAGAAAGTTTGGAGAATATGACACTCACAGGATATTGAAGACAAGAATGGTAGAAGAAAACTGAAGAACCTGTCTAACAAGCTTGTGCAAATAGATGGCAGAGAGTCTGGGAGTGACAATATGGCGACAAATATTGCTTAAAGCTATGAAGTATAGTTAAGTTGTTCTATAATCACCTATGTCCTGTAACGACATGGTACATAGAAGAAAAGATTGATTTTGGGATATATTAGTATTCATTTTTATAAATCACTTTCTGGTTTTAACTTTCCTGCTCAAGAGAGAGAAAGTGACAAAGGAAAGAGTGTATGATACACTATGAAGTCATTTGTTACCCCAATCAATTTATGTTACTTGTTCTCTGATTGGTCCATTTTGTCGCTCTCTGTTTATTACTTGCTCTCAGATTGGTCTCTTTATGTAATTGATTTCTATTTATTACTTGGTCTCTGATTGGTCCATTTATTCACTTTCTATTTATTACTTGCTTTCTGATTGGTCCGTTTGTTAACTCACTTTCTGTTGATTACTTGTTTTCTAATTGGTCTGTTTCCAAACTATTGTTGCTGCTACTATTCTTAACTTATTGATTTTTTTTCATTATTGAAAATTAACGAAAAAATAAAATAAAACTGAAAAAAAATAAAGATTGAACTAAATTTAAAAACATTTTTCATTCTTTTTGAAGTCATCTGAATAAATGTGTTTTGTTAAAAATGTTGTTTTTTTTTAAAGTAATTTCTAATGATACTTTTAATTTGATCCTTTGATATGTGAAAGTCATACAAATTGTAATTTTTCATTTTTTTTTGTAATTTTTAATCCTCCCCCACCCGGAAGACATCTTCAGATAGCCTTAAAATTATGGCACTTGAATCTATTATCAAATTAACCTTTACTGACCCGGAAATACATTTAGGTCTAAATTACATGCAATTTCCTGTTTATTTACCTCGGCATATCATCAGTGGAAGTACAACTCTTCTTCTCTCCCCTATCTCGGAGACTGATAAAAAGTTTTCCCCCCACCCTCACACCTTACAATCCAAACTGACTGCATCTAAATTTGCTAATTGAATCTTAAAAAAAAACAAACTCTAATCCATGTTATCTCAGTTTCTGTTTATTCAGGTCAGTCGCTTAACTTCTTTTTTTTTTTAATTTAAAAAGCATTTTTTTTTTTTAATTTTAATTTTGAAGACAAGTGATTCATTACTAGAATAATTCTTTTCATTTCAAGCAAATCAATTTCTGCATGGCCTGATTGAAATAAATTAGCAATCTAATGTAATGAAAGTTGTCTTGAATGGCCACTCTTCTAGCTCATTGTACATTAATGTGGTGACAAACATGGATAAATGTGCCGACAATAAGACAGTTTCAAAAGGACAGTTTTTCCCATGACACTACTTTTTTTTAACTAACTTCACTCTTCAACGATATTTATTGTTTTAAAAAATGATGATTAGAAATAGAATGAAATATAATAACATGATGAAAGTAAATTTATACATTTTCTTTTTGTTCTTGAGAATTTATAACAAAAATATTAAACACTATTTATTAGATTATTTACATTGTTCAGACCGTTGTCCTCATCTTTATTGTCATATTTACAATGTTTCAGCCTTTGTACACTCTGGCCTTCTTCAGGTGATTGGAATTTCACACTGAATCCTTTATTTGGTTGGCTCTGTGGGTGTTGAACAAACAAATTGGGTAGACAGAACCCTTGGTGGAGGGCCATTGATAGCTGTCACAAGTCACAAGTCATTATGACCGAGGTTTTCAGTGTGCTGGCCTTGTTCAGATTGTTAATCACGCTGATTTTTTACACTTTGCACAAAAATCAAAGGCAAAATTTAATGTCTGTAAAAAACAGCATACAATCAATTTAGAGAGTTGAAATCTAATGCAAAAGATTATTAGAATTATGAAAAAAATTATATTATAAATAAAAATTATCGTATATTATTATTATGACGGTCCATGGAAGAGGTTCCTTCCTTGCAAGATTGAGAAAGCAAAAACAGCCCTTTTCAGGGCCACTCCCCCTGATTCAAATTGTTAACCCCTCCCCATTTGGGGTTTGACCTTAGTTGCAGTGAACAGCAAAAATTCCCAGTAATGAAACACCCGGTCAAAGATGGCACCCTTAGTGGAGGGCCATCAATAGCTGTGGTAGCACAAAGTCGCAAGTCATTATGACCAAGTTTCGAGTGTGCTGGCCTTGTTCAGATTGTTAATCATGCTAGATATCACGCTCTCTCCCAGAAACTGTAACTAAGGTCTGATCAGCAGAGTTGCAGTATAAACCACAGGTGGGCTCTGTGGGTGTTAAACAAACACAAATGTGCCTGAGTGAGCGTCTGCAATAGGGATTGGCTAACCACTCTAATAGACGGGTATCCTTGAATATGAGTGGTCAGCTCTTATTTATTAAACAAAAAATGTATTTGCTTTGGTGCAATCTTGCCCTCATTAACTGTTGTACCTAACATCAAAAAGATACAACTATGAGGAAGGCCAAAGAAGGTATTGGTCGAAATGTGATAAAACAAAGTTAAGGATACTAGTAAAATCGATAAGATTGGTAATGTAAAAACTTTTAAAGTAAAAAAAAAAAAAAACTGAAAAAAAGAATGAACGCCAAGAGGAAGAATGTAGATTTTATAAGATATTTTTCTCAAAGATGTATCTTACAGCAAAAAAAAGAGAACACAAAAAAATCGGACAAAATATATAATTATAAAATATATAAAAATACATACATACATACATACATACATATATATATATATATATATATATATAAAAGGAAAGAAAAATAACATACACATAAAGATTTCTAAAATATCAGTTACATTCACATTATGAAACTGATGTGTATTATTAGTGCCATGCCAACACATCTTTGATTATGACTGCTGTTTTCTTTTGTAAATCATAACTAGGTCAGGTTATTTGGTGCAGTGTTATTTTGGACAGATTTCTGCTTTTACACACACATCACTATCTCAATTTTGTACTTTATTATTTACAAATTCTTTTTTATACATGTCCATTAAAATTATATATATATATATATATATATATATATATAACATGGTCACAATGTGCTCAAAGGAAATAAAAACATTCCTATAACTCATAAAATATAATGCATATATTCAGTTAAAAGTAAAATAAAATTCATCCCTGATAATGGCAAAAAGTATAGCCGAAAGCGGTTGGAAAACATTCAGAGAATTTTTATGTAACTTATTTCCTGAAAAGAAAAAAAAATTAGATGAATACATGAGAAATTATATAAAAAAAACTCAACCACAACACTTTGTCAGTTGTTTTTAGTGAAACTTGCATAAAAGAGGGATTGCTGCCTAAATACATAACAATATTATATATATATATATATATATATATATATATATATATATATATATATATATATATATTAAAAAAGGACTGTGGTGAAATAAATTATTATAATGGTACCTTAAAGTTTTTTTCTTTTAAATATTTATATATATATATATATATATATATATATATACACACACACACACACATATATATATATACACACACACACATATATATATATATATATATATATATATATATATATGGTGATTATCTAAAAAATATATAATATAGTGAACATATAAAAAAATTATGACAAAAAATCCACAAGTATCAATGACACTAATTTTTGTCTTAGCAATTCACCCCTGAAGATGATTTTCGATGAGATTGAAAGTTCTTGGGAAAATAAAAGAAATAACCAAAACTACGGCGTCTTTCTTAATCAATTTTCTAAAAGTACATGGAAATTTATCCATGAATTTTAGAGGATTAAAATATAAATAAATAGACATATGTCTAGACTGTTCAACCAAACAATTTTGAATGGACATATACTACCTAAATATATATATGCGTGTGTGTGTGTTACAAGGGGGAGAGGGTTTGTATCCTTTAACTTTAAATATATTTAAATATACACACATACACACACGCACAGATGATATTCACATTTTAAATGATGTCAGTTTTTCAGAGCACCCTATATATATATATATATATATATATATACACATACACACATGTGAGTGTGTAAGTATTTGTCTGATCTGTTTATGATTCTTTCAGTGATGAATATAAGCCTAATTATGTTTATCCATTTTCTTCCCTTCTGCCATTAAAAAACACGTTATTTCCTTTATGCATAATACACCCACATACTTGCATTCGTTCGTTCATTTTCCTCACATGCGGACAAACCTACTTGAGATCAGCAAACATGAATGAATGAATTATGGCATTTATGGATGTTTATTCATTTATGCACTTGTTGATGTAGAATGCAGCAAATAACAAGCAAGAAAGAAAACAGAGGAAATGATGAAATCTCGTAATGCACAATAAGTAAAAAAAGTGAAAAAATATATATATGATGTACTTTCTGAGTTAAGAGTACAATGCATCCATTTTTAAAAATCATGTTTCTCTATCACAATCTGTTCATATCTATCAATCGATCTATCTATCACAGACTGTGCATATATATTCATCTATCTATCTATCACAGTCTGTGCATATTTATCTATCTGTCTATCTATCACAGTCTGTGCATATCTATCTATCTATCTATCTATCTGTCACAGGCTGTGCACATATATTTATCTATCTATCTATCACAGTCTGTGCATATATATTCATCTATCTATCTATCTATCAATCAGTCTGTGCATATCTATCTATCTATCTATCTATCTATCTATCTATCACAGTCTGTGCATATTTATCTATCTGTCTATCTATCACAGTCTGTGCATATCTATCTATCTATCTATCTATCTATCTATCTATCTATCACAGTCTGTGCATACCTGTCTATCTCGTACCGTCTGTTCATTATCTATCACAGTCTATTCATAGCTATCTATTTATGAATTTGTTTATATCTGTCAGTCTGTTTCTCTCATTCTCTGTCTCTGTCTGCTATCTGTCTGTCTCTCTCTCTCTCTATAATGTATATATGTGTGTGTGTGTGTGTGTGTGTGTGTATATATATATATATATGTGTGTATACATATATGTGTGTATATATATATGTGTATATGTGTGTGTGTATATATACATATATATATATATATATATATATACACATACATACATACATATATATATATATATATATATATATATATATATATATATATATATATAGAAAAGTTACCAAATAAAAAAAATTATGTTTTATTTTATGAAAGTATTTATTTATTTATATATATATATTTGATATTTCAAATTGTCCTCAATCTTTCATCAGAAATAACTGTTTGTTACAAATAAATTAAAATTACTGTTTTTTAGCAAGTAGCGTCTTCATGAGCCGTGGACGTAACGTGATATGGAACGTCACTGTTCAGATATTTCTAACTTAAATCTAACTGTCATAAATATTTTAAATGTTGTTTAAAAATTTTTTAACTATATCTAAAAAAATTGCTTAACTATTGAAATATTTATAAAAAAAAACACCCAAGTCCCTATTCAACCCTAGTTTATGTGTATTTAATTTTAAAATCAATATGTTTCTTTTTTTTCTGCATGTGTATGTGGAACTAAAATCGGAATCTATCAATAAACATTTGCAGTTTTCTAATGAGTGTCCTGATTGATTATATATATATATATATATATATAAAAAAGAAATGTAGTCTTAAGGTGTGCTATATTTATGGGATAAAGTGCTCAATATCAGAGATAGAGCGTGTGTAAATATAAAAGTGAACATAGAAGTCAACACTTAGAGGCGACAGTCTGTTTCATGCTATATGCAATCGTCAGGCCACATATGCTGTTATTTTTCTCGGCTATTTATATATATACGGGTTAGTGGTGCATTGTGGGTATTCTATTATGGCGGTTATTTTTTACCGGAAGTCGCTTTGTTTATATAATTAATAGTTAGAATGAACTACAACAACCAACAATAATAGTTCGAATGAACTACAACAACCAACCCCAAAATTGAACAAATAGCTTTAATCAAATTCTCAAACCAAAACAAAACAAATACGTGATATAAACAAATTTTTACTACGTTAATAAATAAATAAATAAAATAAGAAACAAAAAAAAAAAAACGAGCAATATAATTTGACCCAAATAAATAAACAAAGCGACTTCGTATATATATATATATATATATATATATATATATATATATATATATATATATATATATATATATATATATAAATATAAATAAAATTATTCGCTTGAAGATGAAATGGAACTAATACTTTTAATTTAATTGCAAAAATAAAATTAGGGGTTTTTAGCTTCTATTTTTGAAACATGGTTGGAACTGTGTAGCAAAAATAACCATATTTTAAATCAATTAATTTATAATATATATATATATATATATATATATATATATACACATGTTTCATTAAAGAGGACAGACAAGGTACTGTGATTAAGATTCTTATTTAATTTTTCTTGTGTTTAAACAAGTGTTTTCTTTTCTAGACACAGAGTGGGTAGAAACCGTCCAAATGTTCTGTAATTCTGGGTGCTTTCTGCTATCGTTTTAGCCATTATCAAGGATGATTTTATTTTTTACTTTTTAACTGGATGTATGGGTTGTGTGTATGTATCTAGAGTTATAGGGATGTTTTATTTTCCAAACAGAGTCAGCACATACGAACCTGGGCGGATATATCTATTTCGATAGTCAAGAAAAAAATCTGTTTAAAGGCTCTATCCAACTTTGCTTGACCAGAGGTTAGAGCATGTCAAATCTAATGCTGGTTTCCTTTAGGGAAATGCAGGTTCAAGTACTGCTGGAGAATGCATATTTTTCTCTGAAAAGATTATCCAGGCTGGTAGATGAAAACTAGTAAATATACTGTTTGGCAAATAAACAGAACATCTACTGAAATAGGAGTATACACTAAAAATAATGTTTAAGTAATAATAACAAATATACATGCACTGAGATATACATCTGTTTTCAAAGCATCAAGTGCTTTCATGCCAATGCGTGCACCCAATGCTTGCATTGGCGAGCATATGAGGATACAACACTTTTGAAATGTATCAATGTCCCCACTTTAATCTGTAGTACGGGCAGATAATGTCAGACGTCATCACAAATGGCATATCAGTGGGCTATGGATTTAGAGAGCAACTGAAGAGCTTTCAAACCTTATCTCACCACTGACAGCTCGAGGCGGGCTTAATTGCTTCAGGGTTATTTGATTACTGAGACAAAACAACTGAAACAGCTTCTCCAAAACCAGGACTTTTTTTTTTTTATCTTACAAAGGTTTTTTTTTATACCCCTAGATTACTTGTTTCTGTTTTTTTTTTTCTTCTTTTTGTTATTTATTCTTATTTTTACTCCCGTCATGGTATTGTTATTTGGTATTTGGTACAAAGTAGGGGCTCCTAATGTTTTTTTTTTTTTATTCTCCTCGTTTATCTCCTTCCCTCTTATGAACTGATATTCCTCTATTTTTATTTTCTGTAAAAATAGGTTGCCATGATGAAATTATCACACTGAAGTGACAGTATATCATGGGTCTTTCAGTGTGATTTCTTTTAAACACATTCATATGTGATACTCCTAGTAGTCAATAATGATTGGTACATTTATTGTATGAAATGTGTATTGAAATGTACCAACTATTATGGGACAGAGGTAGTAATAAATAATTCCAATTCCAAATTGCAAGGATTGCTGCTCGTTCTAAGCTGGTTCTCTTTAATCCTGATATGCTACAGTGTTAACCTTTTCAAGTCTAGGATCAACCATTATCTATCCTGCATAATTTTCACTTATTTCCTTATTTTTATGTCCATACAAACACCTTATTAAGTAACTGTCTATATTGAATTGCTCTCAGATTCATGAAATTACATACCCAGTTCTGAACATGGGGTGCATGTTCCACAAGTGGGCCAATATTATTTTTAAGTGGGGCAATTTGTCTAGTGAGTTTATATAAGCCTCTGTGCAAGTTTAATACATACAATGCATATACAATGTGCATACATAACAATATTTGTGTGTATATATTTACATGTGTCATTACATATATACTGTATATATATATATATATATATATATATATATATATATATATATATATACATACATTGAGATGGACTAAGTCTTACAATTATATACATACATACATATACACCCTTGTGCAAATTAACTGAAACAAAACAAATAATTCCATTATTATTTTTTTTCATATTTTTCCATTATCATAATTTATTAAGACCTACAAAGGACAGGAAATTGTGGAGGAGCCATGATCGCCAAAGTCCTGAAGAGACACAGCACATAAAGAACTATCCCATACCCGATATTATACAAAGAAAGTCTCAATTTGACATTAAAATTTGATGTTAAAATTTCCTTGAATTTTAAGTTTATTCATGAGACTGGGATTTTGTCCAATTTTGTGATAAGAGGCTAGGAAATTTTTTTCAATTTGGAATTTGTCTGCTGTGGGCTAACCTTGTCATGTTTATCTTTATTTTTTCCTGTGACATTTTTACCCGGTTTTCTAAAAATTACCCTTCATAAGATCATGAGAATGACTTCTCTCATTATTTGCCCGTTTAGCATGCACATTTGTGCAACGTTTTCCCGCCATTTAAGGGTTGACAAATATGGCAAAGAAAAGGAAAAAGGTTTTTTCATTGGAAGTATTGACAGAAAGCTATTTCTCTCCACGCAATCAACTCTATAGAAAAAAAAGTTGTTTGTCACAAAATAAACTGTTCATTCATTCATTCATTTATTATTATTATTATTATCATCATCATTATCATCATCCTCATCCTCCTCCTGCGATCATGAGTAAATGTTATTGCCTGCAATACAACCGTCGACAGACTCAGTTGTACTCTTGAATTGTTTCCTTTTGATTCAGCCGTTGTTCACATTGTGTGTCTCCCGTTAGTTGACACAGAAAGGACGGGCAAGTATGTAGCAACAACAATCATATCTATGATAACAGTTTTTTTGTCATAGCATTGTCGTTTTTTCTTCTCTTCCTTCCTAAATAGGATATGGAAGACATGAAGAGATGAATTTTAAAAAAAGGGTAAAAGTAGGACTATTTGCTTAAAAAATTTCTCAGTCTATCTTTTTATCTAGCCAACTTTTTTTTAACCATGTTTTGTTTTTGTATTGCCTACCCTATTTTCTTGTGCATAGTACGACTTGCTGGGAGGCACGGTGGAGTAATGGGTAGCAGCTCAGATTAAGGAATCAAAGAACTGTGTTCGAATTCCAGTCGAATCCATTACATTCACTTACGTGCTAATACCCTTGGGAAAGGTATGGATCTTTTTCTTCCCCCAGCCATTTAAATTTTAATACATCTTTTTGATATACATATAGATTTCTGATGTAACTTCATCTAAAGATATACATCTTTTTTTTTATATGGGTCAAACATATATAATGAAGAGGCTGCAAAATTCTATTATTCCAGGGGCCAATTAAGGCCTAAATCCAGACCCGAATACACCCTCATAGTATAGCCAACTAATTTTTTTTTTTAGCAGAACAATGTTTAACATATTATCCATATCATGTCAGTGAGAAAGAGACTAAAGTCACAATTCCTGGTCAGGATCAATTATATTACAGAACCTTCTTTGAATTTTGTCAAGAATCAAGAATTTTGTCAAGAATACAGCTACCATATCTGGTCTGATGTTTCTAATATATACCTTGAATATAGCAGAACAGGGTTTAGGAAACATCAGACCAAATATTAAAGTTGTAAAAGTTCATTGGAGAGCCAAGGATCGGACAAATGGTCAGTGAATTGCCATATCTTCTTGGGAAAGACAGTGGAGTAGTTTCTTGTTGTCTTCTCTTTAGGAATTTCTTTATGTCCTCAAGATACAT